GTACTGATACAAACAAAGAGTGCAAAACTAATAGTTAGGCAAAATCTAATCCTATGACACTAGGCTCTAACTCATATGGCAGATCAATATATTAGCAAAACCTTGGCTCTGATACCAAAAATGTAACACACCTCCCTAAGCACTCTTAGTCCTAAGAGAGTTCGAAAGCAAAATTGATAGTAAAGAATTGCAGCGAAAGTAAAAACACTTATGATATAAAATATTATTTCAAAAGGAAAGCCTACATTCAAAAAAATCAATTTAATAAAAAGAATATCATATATATATTAGAAAATGCCAAAATATTCAAAGTTATAAAATAAGCTGAGCTAAGCTCATTTATAATTAATTTAAAGGTTTTATACAGAAAGCTAATTTACACAAAAATTATACGAGGCAAATTCTTCTTCAAAGCTTTTCAAAAACAAAAGCTGAGTCATGATTTTGGTAACACATCGATCTGCCTCCTTATCGAAAACACAAGGCCCTAGCTTGTACATACAACGAGCATGCGAGTCCCGTGCCAAAAGCTCCTAAACCGAGATGCTGCTACCTCGATCTACTGATCTGAAATGGGGGGGGAATTTTATGAGCTCACAGCCCAGTAAGTAATAAGTTTAAGCTATAAACTTGGGTTCTAAGACCCTTAGACCTATCCACACAAAGAACATAAGACATAACAGAATCAAATCACATAATATTAAAATTCTCAAATCATAAGCACAAATGTCTAAATTGAATTCATATACTAAAATCATATGCTCACAAATATGATGTAACAAGCGCAATACATAAAATTGAAAATCACACAATGCTATGGAGTCCACTGAAGTGTGCTAGCAACACTATACTGGAGCTAATCACAGTACTAACCCTACTGCGCAGAGGTCCACTGAATACCCCGAAAGGTCCACTAAATACCCCGAAAGGTCCACTAAATACCCCAAGCTTTAAGCTTAGGTCCACTTACTCCATAGCCACAAACACATACACATGTCAAACAAATTCATAATATGTCCAAAATAATATTAGGATTTCCTATTGAAAGAGATCAAAGCATAATGCGTGAACAGTGATCATGAACAGTAATCATGAACAGTATTTTGAACATTAATCATGAACAGTAATCATAAACAGTATTTCGTAATTTCCTTCTAATTCCTGCAGCAAAATCACACCCAAATCAAACAATAGAAAGGACTAACTCACTATCTTTGCCATATAAACCCCAATATTAAGGATATTTCTAATAAAAGTTTAATACCCAAAAATCTTATAAATCAAAGGATTAAAATCAAATCTCACTAATTTAAACTACCCAAAACTCTAACCCAA